ATAACAATAATAATAATAATGACAGTAATAATGACAACAACAATAATAAGTATATAAATACCATTTTCAGTTTTAGCATCAACTTTTTCGGTGACAGTACTCTCCTTGTCATTTCCATCTGCGTCCTGTAAATAAAATAATATACTGTGTTCCATGGATTCAGTTTTTTGGATATCGGTAGGGGAGTTTTATTCGGCGAAATACATACGAAAAGTATTTCTCGTATGAGATTTCGGGATCGTTTCAAGAAATGCTGAGTATATCGTACTAACTGATCATTCAATAACGCGTTTCATTCAGTAGCTCACATGGTGATCAAAAACTTGAAAATGATATAAATGAGGCAGAAGTAGAGGAAATGAGTTGGATGATTATTATATAATCAATTAATTACTTGAAGAATTCGTTTCCGTTTGATGTCTGGTGATGATGGATCGGAATTATCATTGTTAGTATCATCGTTATTATTGGTGGTATCATTGTCGTTAGTTGAATCATCAGCAGTGGTCCTCTTACGATAGAAACGTTCCTGAACGGTTTAAGCAGTCAGCAATACAGTTGAGCGACAGGCAAAACACTTAACAAACCGCTATTCAAAAAAATAAGCCATAGAGAGATCTCTTTCACATAATGTTTTGAATCGATCGCAAAATCGCCTTGTACAATTAGATAAAATTCACAATTGAGCTGAACTCTGCCGATAGTTGAATAATAGCAATAATGAAATGATCAAGTGACCATGATAATGATCACAATGTTAATAGTAACAGTTAAAAAATAGATAATCAAACTGTTGCATTTGTACTAATCAAAATCCAGACAAAACGTACCGAACGTCTGGGATATGTCTTGTTGGTGGCATTCAGATCGGGTGTTGGTGTTGTTAACTGTGATACTGACGACGATATATCACTCATACTCTCCTCATCGTTCAACGATTCCTCGCTGCACTTCTCTTCAGTTAATTCTATTATTTAATTATGATCATTACCATTGAAGTTATCATTATTATTGTTACCAATATCAGTATTAACTACAGTCACAATTAATTCGTGATGAACTAGTAACTAATGAACATATCTATGAACTTACAGTCCTATAATTAACAGTTAACAAACCGCTATTACTCATCTCACTGATTATACTTACTATGACAAGACATTGAATCAATTATTCTATTGCACAAAATTTCACTTTCTCATCTTTTTAGAAGACGATTAGGAATGTACGATTATACATATTACAGACAAGATTTTATAAAGGCATCGATGATTTATAACTTGACTTTAGAAGGTACCTTGACCAGGAAGCGATTCAGCCAACGTTCGGATGAATGCTAGAGAATAGTTGTACAAAAATGAGCTGATGAAGCCTTCGGCTGAAGGTGGTGGATTATCCCATTGTTGTTCTTTGTAAACATCATTGATGATCATCTTGACACGTTCTCGTGGACAATCCTTTGACGTCGGATATTGACGTCGTAGTTGAGCGAATTCATTCGCTTTGTGACGAATTATGAATTGTGGTCGTTGTTTGCCCTTTATGGAGAGTATGTGCTTGTGCAGATAACGTTTCACTTTATCCAATATCGCATCATCGTTTCGTAAAATTTCAGGCAATATGCTTCTATAATCAAGTTTGTCATCGCCGAGTTGCTCGCCCTTTTGCACGGCTTTCGATCTGATGTCCAATTTGTCGATCGCGTATCGTCTATAACTTGCTCTCAGCTGTCTACTTGAATCGAACATCTCGAACTTGGCCGCTCGTATCGCCTCTGAATCATTCTTATTCACAACTGCAATGGAACATTCCTTCAGCTAAACGATCACACGAAAGCACTGATTAACATCGCTAGTTTATTCGAATACAATAACTGATGACATTAAATCAGATTCGTTTCATAAGATTCGTTTCATGTCTAATCGTCATATTTCGTTCAAATGCAATATTG